CAAGCAGGAGGGCTAGAAACTTGAAACTCTTGTTCTTTTTGAGAAACTGTTGAAGTTGTGGGACTACAGCTCTCTCTCTCTCTCTCTCTGTCTGTGTGTAAAATGATATTGTGCCAGTCATATGTTCATTCCTGAAAAGAGTGGATGAATGGGTCAGAGTCAGTTTCGCTGTGATGCAAAATTCAAACAAGGTGTTCAAGCAATTCTCTGGATATTGCCTTATCTCTGGAACCACATGAGAAGAGCCTCACCAAGACCACTTCTGCTGCCCTGCTTGCACAACAGGTACTCTCTCATCCTGGAGAATGAGACAGAGAATGCAACCAGGTCCGTAATTAATCCACATTTCAAGGCACTCCATCACCCACAGCACCAGCAATTTCATAAATAATGTCATGATGGATACGATTATATCTTTTATTCAGTCAACGATTTGCACAAAGATATTGCAGGGGGGGTTTTCATTATGCACTTTTTGCTTTACCCCCACGACAGCTGCCCAATGAAATAGGCCAGAATGAGACCGACTGGTCAAAAATCATCCAGTATGTTTCCATGGCCAAGGGTGGACTTAAACCTAGGGCTTCCTAGTCCTGCCTCAGTACTCTAGTTACTACATCATTACAATACAAGCCTCAGAGATCTAGCGATGGCCCCTTCTCTTTAACACAGTGGTAGTCTTGAAATTGGAGAGCCTGTTTGGCATAGTGGTTAAGGCACCAGGCTAGAAACCGGGAGACCGTGAGTTCTAGTCCTGCTTTAGGCACAAAGCCAGCTGGGTGACCTTGAGCCAGTCACACTCTCCCAGCCCTAGGAAGGAGGCAAGGGCAAGCACTTCTGAAATCTTGCCAAGAAAACTGCAGAGACCTGTCCAGGCAGTCACCAGGAGTCAAAAACTGACTCAAAGGCGCGCGCGCACACACACACACACACACACACATAAAGTCTTGAAATTAGCTAATCCTAGAATCATGAGGAAGACAGTTCTAAAAGGCTAAATACAGCTTTCTTCAACCTGGGGCCCTTCATCATGGTTGGCTAGCTTAGCTGAAGCCCTGCATTAGTCAAGCCATCTATCCCAGGCTACAAATAGAGCACAGAGCACTAAGAAAGCAGGCTGGCCACATCGCTCTTCAGATAACTCCAAAAACTGAGCTGCTGTGTTCCACAAAGAAGCATCTCAAATCTCTAACCCAGTTAGCATGCTGGATGGGGAATTTTGGGAGTTGAAGTCCACCTATCTTAAAGTTGCTAAGGTTGAGGAACACTCCTCTAACCCATTTGATGGGGAGAAAACATCTTTCTTCCCTGGTGGAGCATCAGACAAAACCTAGCTAGAAAATTGTCGGAAAGAACATCAGATGGTTCCCTAATAATGGCAGTCATAGATCTACTGAAAGAACTTGTTACTGGGGGGAGAGAGGGAGGGAATGGTAGAAACTCAGTCCTGAACATGAAACGCTCTTTTGGAAATTCAAAGGAAACCTTTTACCAAGGCTATCTGGGGACAAAATATTGATTTTGTGGTTCTGATTTCCCTTCCCTATCCTCACCTCAAAACCCCACTTACTTCATGAGAATATCTGGAGATGGAGATTAATGAAGCCTTAGGTTTTTTTTAAAAAGTGGTGGGGTGGGGTTCTGGCATTGCTAGTCTAGAGCATACAGAGCATGTAATGAATGGAAGGAAACCGGGCTTATATATACCTACCTGTACACTTTGTAGTAAAATGCCAGCTCTGGATGTTCCTGCCATTTCAGCTTCCAAAGAAAAGGCCTTTTCTGTGGTGGCACTTGGCTTGTGTCTCTCTCTCCTCTCAGAGATTCTTAGCTAACACACCTTCATGGATCTTTTGCATTTCCTGTCCCATACAGATGCTTGAAAAACCCTGATTTTTTCTCCCACTTTTGAGAAAATTGCATTCTATATTTTAGTGTGCTGCATAGGAGAGCAAGGAGGGCCAATACAGTGTTGGAGGTCACAGCTGAGAGGACTCACAGCATGTCCTGTAGCGAGCCGGGGGCCCTGAAGAAAACATAGTCCTCTTCACTGATGCCAAAATAATATTCAGCGGCCAGCCAGTAACATCAAGGGAGACTTGACTTGCCCTCTCCTGCTCCTACTTAAATTTCTGAGCCCAGAAAACAACCAAATTCTGCCACCTGCATTCTTGGCTGTTAGAAGCTAACTAGGACCATGCCTCATTAGTACTTTACAGCTCTAGACTTAGATCCACTTGGGGCAGTTGAAAAAAAATCCCAGAAAAATAAAATAATAAACCACCTCCATTTTGTTTTCAAAAAAGCAACAAGAACATGTCCAAATAGTCACCAGGAGTTAAGAACGATCTGAGGAAGACTCTACCTTTATCTACTAGTCCATAGTCTTGTTCTGGGTAATAAATTCTCAGCTGTCTAAGAAAAGATGCCAGGACTGGTCAATGCTGGCTTTGGAGACCAAGAACTATATACAGTTGGCTGAGAATCATGGGAAACATAGCATAATCAAGCAATATATGCAATATACACACCACGGACTGACCAACCCATATTTACTTTGGCATTTCTCCACTCTAGTATGGGAAATACTATTGCCTCAAGAAAAGAATTTGCCCTAGCCCACTGAAGGACAGAAATAATGTGAGGCTCTATATATCTCCTAGGAATGTGATAGCTTCTGCTTGCTTCATTCCCCTTTTTAAGTTATTTTATGACATCCTCCAGTGATTTCATGACAGAAGATACGCTCTTCTTTCCCACCAATCTCTCCATTATTCTGTCAATATGTTAGCCTGAGAGGCAGCACCTGAGGCCAAGTCAATCACTCAGCTCCTTTGAAGGAGTCTGGTAGCCCCTTTTCCAACTAACCAATATTATTAAAAGGCATTAGCTTTCATGAGCTGCAGCTTGCTTCATCAATTACTTCATCAGCATTTGCAGAACATCCTTTCTCCAATATAAGCACTTCTAAATCTGATGTTTTTAACTTCCCTGCAACAAGTGTGTCACTTAGGAGGAGATGAAGAGAGCTGCAGCTCACAAAAGCCCTTTAATAACATGTGTTACCTGGAAAGTAAGTCTGTACTTACCAGACTTCCTGATTTTAGACTAACATGGCTCTCCTCCTACAAGATCAACAGCTCCCATGAATGAACGAGGGTTTGAACCATAATCTCTCTCTGCTCAAACATACCATTCGAGGCCAGCCTTTCACAATCCCACCCAGCTTGACATCTAAGGCTGCTTGAGAGAATGCATGGCACCGCCTTTCCCATGAAATAAGGGTATACAATCTGATGACACAGACAAAGAAAACAGGAGCTACTCCACAAGGATGATAAATGATCAAGTATAAAAATACCCAACTCAAACAGGAGCAGAACTGTTGCCCACTCGCCTCTTTTCTTTCCACAGAACTGATGTGGCCACTAAATTGTAACCTTTTAAAATTCATTTGATTTGTGGGAGACCCACAGCCTCCCCAGTTCAGGCATTTCTTCATCCAAACCTGGTAACTAAAAAAAGCTCCAGGACCAATACTTCCCCACCATCCACAACCTCCCCAATTGCCTTGTTTGACTTTTCAGTGAAGAAACCTTACTCTTAAAGTAAGGGCTTCCATCAGAAGTGCTCAACAGTCAGCATCATGATCTCTTCAGTCAGTTTCTGGAAATGAAGCCATATTGTTTTCCCTTCCAGTCATACTCAGTTTGCTTTATCACTTTAAAGATTTTACAGGGTAAGATGCTATCTTCTATATCAGTGTTCTCAACCTTGGCAAGTTTAAGATGGGTGGACTTCAATTCACAGAATTCTGGGAGTTGAAGTCCACCCATCTTAAACTCGCCAAGGTTGAGAAACACTGTCCTATATGGCCAGTGGCAACATTGGAAAATAGTATTATGAGGGATAGAGGTGTATTTGAGAGTGGGGGGACTATTATGTCTCATATATTAGCCCTCTAAAAGAGAATAATTCACATATTAATACTACATATTAGTATTGGCAGAACATACTTTCTCCTCCTTCTGAGCCTAATGTTTTTAACTTCCCCGGAACAGGTGTTGCTTAGGAGGAGGATATCTATTTTAAATGTCCAGGGGATGATTCAGGAGACCCTGGAGCGTGGAAAGTCCTTTTCCTTCAAATAAAACTAGAGACCTAGCAAGAGAGGTCTCTGCATGCAAAGAGGGGTGCTAGTTTTGAGATGGGGTACCTCCCTCTCCCACACCATTTGGGGATATGGCAAAGTTGAAGCACTAAGTCTCCCAGTTCTGAAACAAGGAATGCCAGGAGAAGAAGCAAAGCTCTTATGCAAAACTGGCCAAAATATAAAGCAAAGAAAAATTCTCCAGGAATGCCTCCTCTTTGCCCTCTAGGCACCCCAGGCTCCACCCATTGGCTGGAAACAAGCAGCTAATCCATGATGCAGCAGGATAGGCAAGTAGAGATAAAGTTATCTCCGCAGGCCAGGCAGTGTGGTAGAAAGGGCTTTGCAAAGGAGCACCAGCCAGGATAATAACCAAGGAGTTCCAACGGAGCCTCAAGATCTTGGGGCCTGCCTGCTTACCCCATCCTGGCCTACTCAACTCCACTCTCAGCAGTGAGAAAGAATGAATTTGCACCATGACCATCCTCATCTTAAAAGAGTCTTCTAATTCCTCACTCAGGCTGTAAACTCTTTTCTGCACAGATGCAATGGGTTGACTCAACTGACATCAATGTTTTTTTTAAAGAGGGGGGAAGGTGCTCCTATTTATGGTTGGGAAAACCTGAAACGCCTCATGATAGTTGCCATAATCTAGCAACAACCACTGCACGTAGCACCAAGACTCAAATGTGTAGCTGGAGTATGCCCAGAGTATCCCCAGTCCCATATTATTTTTTTTATTCAATCAGTCTCATAGCTAAATTGGGGAGAGTATCCTGCAAAAGAGAAGAGAATGCATAGATGGAACGCTTTTACACATGGAGTTCTTTGTAACAATGGAGACCTGCAGAGAATCTGATTATTGTTATTAAAGGTTCTAAGTTCTGAGAGGCCCACAGAAAAAAAGTTCTCACGAAGAGTAGAGTATCTATGATTGTTCTCAGATGTGTGCCCTCACCATAATTCTGATGCTTACTTTCCCCTTCTGTGCTTCCTTTTCTTTTAATATTTTCCTATGTCCCATTCTACAGTCAGACACAATGCCCAGCTGAATTTGTACAGCATCAAGACCTCTGATAAATTATTGCTGCTTTCACCAAATGAAGTTTGTTTGAAACTGTCAAAAATGATTGCTTTCTTAAGATCAAATCATCAAACCGCATGTTTTTGTGTAACTTGCATAATTTGTTTTCTGCCAAAGATGAACTGGCAGATTTTGAAATAATGGTTGGGGAAAGCTAGGTTTTCTCCCCCAGTAAAATTAGCAGGATTGATTCCTCCAATCCCTCTAAGCTTTTCCACATGGAACTGATGAAAGAATAGCAAAAAATTGTTTGGGAGCCATCTTAAAATCCTGGCCTGGTATCTAAAATGTGGGAAACAAAAAAGGTTCAACAGATACGGGGAACCAGGGAAGTGGGGGGGGGGGTCCACTGGTAAATCAATAATGAATGTTTGGTACATGTCTAATTTTTCTAGATCTTGCAAAATAAATAAAAATGCTACCCAAAGTAGGCTTTGCAGATTCTGCAAATATTTTATATGAAACCTCATATTCTGAATCTCTACATTATTTAGAAGTTTTATGTAAGAACTGTTATTTTGGGCCTTTAAAGGAATCAAATTTTAGTCAGTTTTAGGTCACAGAGGTCAGCTCAGCTCAGCTCTTTTTCTCTAAAACTGACAGTTCGCTTTTCTTTTCTGTTTTTAATCATAGGGGAAAATGTAGAGAAGAAATTTACTAGGGGAGTACATTACTGTCCATTTCACTTCACTTCAAGTGAGAGTGTGGAGGAGGAAAGACTATCCAAATGTGCCTAGTTTAAGTTTAGCAACTGTTTTTGCGTTTTAGGAGAGGCTAACTTTATACAGAAGCACACACCCACGTTCATTACAAATGGAGCAATGACCATGAGCAGCGTATGAAATAGCTGTTGTTTCTGTAGTTATGCAAGACACAAAAACTAGTGATCATTTTCTTTTTCTTGGTAGGTCAGAATTTTGCATCGGTGATTGTGAACCTGGGGAAGGGAGAACATCTGAACTGTTATTCTCATCTTTCTACAACAGCAACTATTTATTTATTCTCTTCCCCTTCTTCTCCCCCACAAAATCTCGCTTCATCAGCATCAGAGTAAATCTAGGCAGCTGATTTCAGGCCAGGTCTTAAGCACAGGGTCTGGAGTAGCCACAGCAATCCTCAGGAGTATTTTTAATGGCTAACAGATCCCAAAGAAGCCATTCCCATTGGACACCATGCCCCTCAGGGTCCATCCCCAAAATCTGTGACCCAAGAAAGAGGCCAGGAATTTAGTTGATTGCTTACCTGTTTAATTATCAACTGTTATAACAGCCACTGCATAAGAAGAGAGATTACAGAAAAACAGAAAAGGCCTGAGAGAAGTCCTCAAAACTCTGTGGGGGGAGAAACTGGTACAGGCAGCCTTTGGGCCCTACCCTGCTTCAAAGGAACAGAGACTTTGCTCTCCTGAATCCACCTGGGCCTGATTCTGCTCTCCCAAGGGGAAAAATGTGATCAGGTTCAATACCAGAAGAGAGTTTTGTCAGATTCCTCACTGGATGGGCTCTGTGAGTCTTTGGAGAAGAGCAGTTTCTCTTGGTTCTTCTGCTAGAGTGGCAGTTCAGCATGCCCTCTGCTCCCTCTTTTGTCATCTGCTGCCACCAAATCACTCAACTGGTTCCCTTGAAGGTTAAACTGGGAAAATGCAGGCCGCACACAGTCTTTCCCCAGTCTCTTTTTTGCAGCCCCAGAAACTAGGCCACCAAATAGCTGCCAGAAACTACTGAATTCAGCCATCCAATAGGCTTAAGTATGGTGGAAAGAGTCAAAACACCTTCAAGCCTTTGAAAATCTGGACTCGTTTCACCCATCCACATGACATCATTGGGTTATGGTCTCGTGGTTACCCACCCACTGAGCGAATAACGCATGGCTCCCTCCGTGCCTTGGGGATGAGGAACCAACTTGCTTCACGAGATGGCACAGAAGCCAGACTTTGAAGGAGAGCAAGAGAGGACCCTCTTTATACATCAATCACATATGGTGCCACCAGCTCCAGATCCACGACTGACCCTTCCAGGGGCTGCTCCACATGGAAATCACGCTGGTGCTGGAGCCCCTGACGAATCTTTTTGCCCCCACGCTGGGGAATGGGTAGTTCCGAGTGATGGGCTGGCAGAGGAGGGGTGAAGAAATAGGGATGCAGAAGTGCCTAAGGGAGAAAAGAAAAGACGGTCATCTGGCCGGCTCTGACCGAGTCCAAGAATGTCTCCAACTATGGCCATATGGGGAGTCCTAGAAAGCCTTCCCCAAGGGGGCGGGGGGGCACTCCAGTTGGATTAGTTTACAGATCATCCATTGGTTGAGGCTTATGGGGAGTATCAGCTGGGGAAGGCTGCTAACAGGCACAAAGGAGATATGGGTCACTCATGTTGGATGAACAAGGTCCTGTACAACCCTAGGCAGGCCCTGTTTCTAACCAACATCTCCATCTCCATTCCTAATTACCAATGGTGTAAATTTAACTACATAATCTCATTCCACCCATGAGTAGTTATTTCACTCCTCCCTTGGGGTGCCACCAAATGAGGCTTTTGCCATGCAATCCCCCTGCCTCATTCACAGAATCTCACATGGGGTGGGGAATGTAATCTCCCTCTTCTAACCTCATGTTTTCCCACTGCTCACTTGGTGTTCTTTTTTTTTTTAATGTTAAGATGGAATAGTTGCATGTTGCCTTTGGATTACTACCATAAGGTGCTCACTGCCTAGAGAAGCATCTTTAGGGAAATGAACAGATAGAGGTGTGCAAAAAATCACAGACAAATATCCACTGCAAAATAGCAAAGCAGGCTGGAGTGCCCCCTCGTGGCGATATAGAATGGACTTGCTTCCTTCTCAATGAGAAAATTTCCCCAAGAAATTTGGAAGAACCCGGTCCCCAGGCTGATTTACAACAAGCATCCAAAAATAAGGATAGAGTCTTTGGCACTCTTAGGGAATTCCAGGGCATAGCCTATTTAGGATCAACTGCTGTGCAAAAGTCCTTGTACAACCACTGCTTATTTTCTCAGCTACAACTTCCTTGCTACATACTAACCATGGACTAGGGAGTGGAAGATGCCCACAAGTGGGAAACCCTAAAGGATCTACATGGCAGGTAACAACCCAGCCTCAGGCCTGGATTGTACTCTTGCTTCCATCTGTAGTTTTGCAGCTGACATTAACCTCCAGAGGCAGTTTTACTAAAGTGGGTCACAACTTCAATCTACCAAACTCTTGGCACCCATCAAAATTCTGTACCTGCTACCTTCTCTGAAATGTGAAAAACGGGCTATTTAAGAAAGCCGAATGGGTCACTGAGCACGTAGCTGGGCTTGGGGAGTCACAAGTGGCTCAAACTATTTCTTAGCTATTCCACATGTAGAACTTACTCAGAAAGCATGTTACTGTCTGCCAATACGCTGTGTACAATTAGTCACTTTGTGCAACTCCACAAAGCTCCTCGCCCTGTTCTTTGCAGGATGCTGTGCCATGCTGGCAACCTCACCATTCCCCCTTACCTGGGCTGCCTGCATACGCTGCTTTGAAGGATAGACCAGGAACTCTTTCAGGAGCTGCACTGCTTGCAGGGAAGCATCAGGCACCACCTGCTCCAAAGGAATGGGCTGCTTCTCTTTGAAGGAGATTTTGTTGTAATCTGGCAACTCTGTAATCTCCTGTCCCCCCAAAAAGATAACAATGGTGGGACTTGGTTCTTGGTTTCTTCACTTTTAAAGGGCCCCGCTCCTCCCCTGGACTTCAGGGCAGATCCTTGGCCTTAATTCCTGCGGGCAAGCTAATGGTTATTGGACCCACCGGCCAGGTCTTTTGATTAGGTGTGCCAAGCACTCGGAGGACACAACACAGCTGCTCAATGTCATTTTCACCAGGGAAGAGCGGAGAATTGTTGAGAAGCTCAGCAAAGATGCAGCCAACAGCCCTGGTTAAAGAGAGAAAAGAGGTTGCAGGATCAGAGGATGAGGGGGAACATTCCTGTCATCCAAACATTCAAGCCCCTCCCTAGCCAGCTTCCTGCTTCTTAGGCAGTGAAAAATATTTCCTTCAATTCTTGATTTCAATATCTTTATTTATTTATATTATTGAGAAGAAGAAAAAAAAATACATAGAAAATGCTTTAGCAAAAAAGTGAAAGAAATACAACAAAGGAAAAAAATGTTAATATGTCATTATAACAGTAAACAATTACAATTCTATATATACTCATCTAATGCAAATATTATTCAAGTATGCATATATTTCTAATACATTTATATGACCATCATGTTTTTTTAACCTACTGCATTTTGTATAACTGAGTCCCATATTTCATTCTACTTGTCCATGCAAAGTCTATGTCTGTAGGCAATCCGCTCGTAAATAGCAAGTGCAATCAGGCCTTCAATCCACTGAATAAATGGGACAAGATTTCAATATGGTTTTGCTCCACGCAATCCTTTTCAACATTCTGTATTGTAGGCTTGCATTTCTTTTGTCTAAGTTTGCATTCCGTTTTGTTTTTCTCATTTGGGAAAGGCCCCCTTTTTCTGAAGGAAGATTCCTTTTCACCAGGTTTCCTTAACACTGTTGATTAATCAGGATGGCAGTAATAACACTCTTCCTGATCTAGGGGATATATTACAGCTAAGTGTTGATTATTGTGATTCTGAGTAATTTCCAAGCACTTTGGAGAAACTGAACTTTTTTTTTTTTTTTAAACTCTCCTTCTCAATTTGCCTTTTTACCTGATAATTTCCTCTCTTGAAATCAAGTATAATTGTGTTGGATTCCCTTGGCAATTTTCCACCTACATACCAATTATATCTGGTGGCACTGTGGTCAAGGCTTTCAGTCAGTTCAACAATTTCATCTCTAACACTCCAGGGTTGCCCTTTTCAAAAAGCCCAGAGATGGAACAGTCCAGACTCATGAAAGGAAAGAGGACAAAGACACTCACCACAGGTCTACACCTTCATCATACTTCCGAGCACCGTACAACAGTTCAGGAGCCCGATACCACCTAATTGAGAAGAGCACACAAATCATATTATACATAGCTCAGTTCATCTCACACAATGGGACTGAACTACAGTCCCAACAATTTTCAAGTCTAGTGCCAACAAGACTCCAGAGCCTTCTTAACACTTAGGACAGACTTCAAAGATCTTGGAATAAGGTCTGGATGGAGAATTTAGGACCCCTCAGTATGTTGTTGAACTATCTTGTCCAACTTCCATTACCACTGAACTTGCTGGCCGTGGCTACTAGGAATTGGAGATGCAAGCATTTTCCAGTTTGGTTCTCTCTTCCTTGGTTGAACGTTCAAGTCCACACCCCATGCCCATTCCAATTTACCTGGTGGCCACTTGATGGCTATACAGCCTCTCTCCATCACTGGTGAATACACGGGCCAAACCAAAATCAGCAATTTTCAATTGCCCTGTAGAACTGATCAGCAAATTGGCTGGTTTCAGATCCTGAAAGGACAAGACAAGAATTTGAAAACATCTTAGAAACTAAGGAAAAGGCAAAGAATGGGATGCACAGCATCAATGGGTCAAAGGACAAGATGTGATCTTTCTGGGAGAAGGAAGCCATCCTATGGTCAAACTTGACCCGGCCTCACCCGGTGCATAATAGAGTTGGCATGGCAGAAAGCCACCCCCTTGAGCAGCATCAGCATGTAGCCTTTCACTTGGGCTTCAGTAAGAGGCTGCTCAGAGTTGCGGATCACCTCGGACAGATCGGACAGCATGTACTCAAATACTAGCACAAACCCTGTGCCATGGGGGAAAACATCTTTCAGTTGCACCACCTAGAAGACAGAAATTAGACAAGTTGGATTCCATATTGGGTGGCCTGTCCCACAACTGACATCATGAAGATTTGATTAGGCTTCCTGACTCGGTATAGGGAGTTAAGTGACTGAATATAGAACAGAACATGAGCCATCTGAAGGTTTTTGCAAAGCCTGAAGTTATATTATTCCCCCCAACACCTGTCTTTATGCTGGATACATTTCACTGAGCTTCTTTAAGCTGGTCACGTAATAAGTAATGATTGCACTGCTATTATTTGGCAAAATCCTCTCTTTGCATTTTGCATCTAGTTGAACCAGGAGGTTGTGATGGAAGCAGGCCACTTAGTGCTGAAAGGTTATTAACTGTAACTTGAAGACAGTGGCTAGAATCTTACAAGGAGAACCAGAGGTGGAAAAGGCAAAAGTACTGGTAAAAGTTCAAAATGCTGCAGGCGGTACTGCTACCAATATTGATTATGATCACTTCATTGATGTTCTGTTTATTCCCCCATATTCGTTTTGTTTGCAAGGTAGGGAAAACTGATTTTTAAATAAAGCTCTGAATGATTTGCGTAATTCTCAGACTGTTGTCAGCATTCAGAACTACTTTTAGTCAAGCCATACAGCAGCATGCAGTCAGTCCCATAAAGAGGAAATCTTCCAAAGATCTTGTAAGGGCTCTCTGCCTTATCCTGCTTCTTCCAGTATCAAGTGGACTGGAACTGGATACATACAGTATCTAGAGCTAGAGGAAAGAGAAGGGACTAAATCTCCTGAGAGGTTTCCCCCACCCCTTCCCACCTTCCCCAGGTTTAGAATAAGCTAACAACCTTTAGCGTGCTCTGCTCTATAGCAATCTGGAACATCCAGCACATTCTCCACCACCAAGCAAGAAAGCAATAATATCAACCCCACCTCCATGTTGGAGGTACATGAATGCATAGTTTTCTAAGCTTTAAACAAGGGCTCAGGAAACCTTCATACAGCAGTTGCAACTAGAAAATATTCTGATATGAGATCAAAGAATATTGTTGCTTTTTTTTTTTAGAAAACTGATATAGCCGCCTATCCTAAATACCAAAACAATATAAAAACCAATTAAAAATATATTACAGGAAAAAAATAATCAAGGTGCTACAGAACAACTCCATAAATTCCACATGTATCTGGCGTCCCTAACATCCTGGCCTTAACACTTGGGGGAAAAGCCAAGTTTTAATGACCTTCCAAAGGCCAAGAGGGTCAGTTTCTAGCCCTCGTGTCTGTGAAGAAACAGTTTAAGAAGGCTCCACATGAATGTTCCACTGATCTATAAGGATGAAACAGTCCTCATACTGTAGGTCTTTATCAGCCTATTCCTACCCCACAGCTCCTTTTCCAGACACGACAAAATCCCAAACAATTCAAATAAAGATTTTTAAAATGTCACTATCCAAACTCTAGGAAGAATATAAACTAAATAAGAGTAATGCTAGATTGCCCACAATGTACTCTTTGAATTGCACTGCACTGGACTAGTGTGGAGTTTCAGAATCCTTGCCTTCAAAAATGCATGGCTTTATGACATCAGATCAACTTCAATCATCTAAGATACTTCACTGCGTTATTATGGTTTAATTATGGTTTATTGAGCAAGCCATTTACTCCTTTATTGTCCATTATTTGTGTATCGCCACAATTCCACATGCATAGGTGGTTCACAAACCTAAGTCATAAAGGAGTAAAACCATAAAACCACATCATCACACTTATTTAAAACAATTCAAAATTAAGGGAATATACTGCCAAACAGATGGCAAGCAAAGCACAAATGTTAATCTCCGAGGCCTTGTTGGGAACAGCCCCATTTCAACAACTTTCTGGAAGAGGATTAAAGTAAGTCTTGGGGGAGCTTATGCCAAAACATTGGAGCAGCCATGGAGCAGCCCTGCCTCTGTGCCTCTGTCACCTCCCCGGTTAAGGATGCCCAGAGCACCCTCTCACAAGCAGAATGACAGCCAGCCAGAGTCACCCTGGAAGAGAATCAATCACATTTATTTCTGAACTGGTCAACCACTTTAGTCAGACAATGCCAAGAAGTGTACAAAAGCAACAGCCACAGCCAAAGCAACCATAACAATTGCATACTGTAATATACAGCCACACACCCTAACAGGAATCATACGACAGGAAAAAATTACAATTTGTGCAATAGTCCTGGCTCCAGGAGCTCTACAGCATTCATGTCCCTCTCTCTCAGCCCAACCCACCTCACAGGGTGGTTGTTAGACATGTTAGACAAGCAGGAGAATTAGGTATGTTTGGATGGACGGACAGATAGATAGAAAAAGGTGGGATAAAAATCTAATAATAATAATAATTATAGCCAGTTTTTACCTGCTTCTGGAAGATCAAGGGAATGGGAACAAGTTGTTTCAGTGGAGGGGAAGATTATGGCAAAGTCACAATGGCTGAGTTCACCAATAACCTTTATCTGAATTCCCAACACCCTCCTCCAGGTTATTATACTTTAGTGTACACATAAACCAGGCTAATTTGTTCTGAAAACTTAGCTTATTGGAGTCCTAGCCTGAGATGGAACTCAAAAAGGCCGGTCCAGTGTAGCTCATGGACTGTCACTTCCACAAGCAACTCACATGCTGGTTTTCCTCAATCTCCTGCAGAGCCTTGATCTCCCGCAGGGCTTGGTTGGGGATCCCATCCTCCAGCTTGCGGAGAGCCACTTTCTTCAGGGCCACAGTCTCCCCAGTCTGCCAGGGAAGAGAGCAAAATAAAAACCAGAAGCAGATGTTTGTCCCCAGACCTTGAGAAAAAAGCAAAGAACTTGGCACACTGGCCTCTGAGGCCATGAGGACTTCCACTTACTTCTATGTTCTTGGCTTTGAAAACAATGCCATGGGCTCCCTCTCCGATGCGGCCAAGAATACTGTATTGATCCATGCTGGCCTCTCATAATGGAAACAGACAAAGAAATCATAGCTCATGTGTCCCAGCAGGGCACTCATGAATTCTTATTAAATAACACGTGCTCCGTCTTTCCTTTTTTCTTTATAAAATGTGTATCCCACCTTTCTATCCAAAGCTAACATTAGATGGCTAACTTGACCCCCCCAAAAGGAAATACAATTTAAAACAATCAAAATTAGCTTTGAAATCTATATAAAACTACCAACAGTTCAGAAGGCTCAATATAAAGAGCTACATGTCTCTTGACAAACTTTCAAATAACAAAAAGAGCAGGATCACCTCTCATCTTGCAAGCTGCAGATTTCTATTGATATGTACCTGCACTATTTTTGAAACCGGACCACCTGATTTGGCTTCCAGCAAAGGAAACGTAACTCACTGAAGAAATGCAATTAAGAAAACATATTATAGCCTTTACAAAATCAAAATTCCTAAATCGGGAATCCATTTTAGATAAATCAGTTTTAAAAACACTGATTTTAAGAGTTAAATCTTTGACACAATCTTTCTGCATTTGTTAAATGATGTGAATAAATCAGTGGTTCATTCATTCATTCATTCATTCATTTGATTTAATTTGTATGGCCTCCCATTTCAACAAGTGACTCTGGGCAGCAAACATAAAATGAATTAAAAACAAATTTCCAGCATAATACAAAAATTAGAATGCACACAGCAGCCAAGGAAAATATTCTAGAAGGCTATGAAGACCTGTTCCCCCAGGCCTGCACATATATATTTGGGATAGGAGTATAATGGTGCCTTGGTTTTATGTAATGGTTTTAATTTTGTTGAGTTTTTTTCTGTTTTCTTTATGTAGCTGTTGTTAGCCACCCAGGGTTATATTGTATAAGATGAGCGGTCATATAATACTGTAGGTAAATCTGAATTCTCTCTGCTACAACACATACACAGACTGGCAAGATTTTTAAAAGTCAGAATACTTCCTGGTGGTGTAGAAGAGAGATTTCAACCATACTGAAGTAAACTTCCAAAATGCATCATAGGATATTATTTATTAACTAGATTACCTTATGGATTTCTCCAACGTTGATTTCAAGACTCTTTCACAAGGTATTATAGGAGCAAAGTCAGAGTGTTCTTTTAATTCTTACATATTCCTTTTCCAGAAAAATAAAACAAACATAAAGAAGTCAATATATAAAGGTTCCATTTAAACAGGATAAGAATGCAACAACTGCAAACCATATTGTATGAGATGGGAGTTCAAGTTCAACATCAATCAGAATATAACAAGAATTAATTCCTCAAAAATTTGTGATGAAAAGCTTGTTTTCATTAAAATATTAAAAAGCAGAATAATCTCTTTTTTAAGTGTGCAATTTTTTTTGGGGGGGGGCATTATTTCCTTGGTGAGTGAAGTAATTTGCTCAGTAACTGGGACCTGGTTTATCTAAAATACAGCTCTGGCATATACTTTAGAAAGAAATACATGCAGAAAACCTACCCCAAATATATAAAGACTGATTTCCCCAGAAATTTGAGTTAAAATGCTATTAGGATAGTTGCTTTAAAGAAGTTAACTACCAAATTCTTTTGTACATGCCAGGATGATTCCATCATCCACCTCACCATCTCACCAATTTTTAACCCAAAGCATGGACACAGGAAGCAGTTTTAATCATGAAAACAGCTCTCCTGGATTAGATCTAGATCAATATATTACTGGTCCCTGAATCGCCTGCAAACAAGACTCCACAGCAACAGTGCTCTCTCCCTTCTCGACTGCCCCAAACATATTCAGTGGCATACTGCTGTTGGATATGGAGGCTCCTTGTTTTATGAAATATTTAACCACCACCAATATTGACTGTTTGCAAGTATACCTAAGATATTTTCAGAGCTATCGAAGTTTACGATATGGCACCACAACATACTGAAGCAATAAACGGGACGGATTCTAGTTATACGCTGCGTGAATTCCTGAATCTCCTGCCAGTCCAACTGGGCAATTCCCCAGGATCTAACCGCACGAGACAAAAACCTCCCTCTACCCGCTTTCTCGCCGAGGGGCGCGCTCATATATATAACACGCGAAAGGGGTAAGTCGCCTTTTTTCTCCCTTAACCGAAGGCTCTAGTGCGCTGCCTTTCCTAATGCAGAGCACCTCGGTGGTTGTCTGCATCCTTTTCAAGAAAAGTCTGGCTACCCAATTTGTTCTCCCACCTCAAGCGGTTAAAGGCATAGACTCTGTAAGGGGAAAAAAGCAGGCGGGGTCGTAATTCAGAGCGCGCCACCCCCCGCTCCCCGTCGCCTCACGCAAAGCCCTACAAACCCCTCCTTATCCCGCGGAGGACGCACGCTCAGGGCCACCTAAAGGACTCCCAGGAGACCGGTGCACGGCTCGGCCACCCGGCCCCGCTTTCCCCGACCGGCTCCCTGAAGAACCGGGACGCTGCTCAGCCAAAGAATCCCCGCCGGCCGTTTCCCAGCATGCCGCGCGCTCCCGCAAGTGGAATCTCCTCGGCGTTTCGAAGAGAGTTCAGGTTCTCCTGCGGGGTTTCTCAGCCTCGGCGGCTTTAAGATGTGGGCGCTTCCACTCCCAGAATTCCGTGCTGGCTGGGGAATTCTGGGAGTCGAGGTCCACACAGGTGGTTGAGAAACACAGCTCTATGGCAAATAGCCGCTTCGCTTCCTTCGCGTACGAGCCTGCTGCGAGGGAAACAGGCGCAGAAACTCAGTGAAGCACGTTTGGAGATTCCCACTCACCCCCCCGCTTTTGGAAAAATAAGTCAACCTCTCCTAAAGAAGTTAGGGGTTGGGTTTGTTCGTTTGTTCGTTTTAATCTTAGAGCTACCAGATCTGAGTTGCAAAGATCCACATAGCCACTGCGGGGGTTTTCACCCTTGGCAACTTTAAGATGGGTGGACTTCGCATGGGGAATTCTGGGAGTTGGAGTCTACACATCTTAAAGTTGCCAAGTTTGAAAAACACTGCCCTAGAGGGAAGTAAAGGGCCCCACAACGCTCACCCCTCTCTGCCGCCACTTTGTGTTCGACCGGATTTGTGCAGTAGAGATCTGAGCTCTTCTTCTGGCACCGTTCGTCTTTTTTCAACCTCTGCTTTTTAAAAAAAAAAAATCTCCTGTATTTACATGTCTTTGGGCAAGCAATTCCTGCAGGTTACAGCAAAGCGAGGAGTTTTCTGTCCTGCCACGGCCTCAGACTGTCCTAGCGAAGGGACGCGATGAGTTCCAGAAACTTCCCTTGGAAGAGACCCGCATAAGATCGCGCTCTGTTACTGGTTCATTTTGGCATATAGTCCAAAATGCAGAGAGGAAGGAGGCTTCGCACATCCGATGCCTTGGATTTTTTTTTTTTTTTAAAGAACAGGGATGTAACTTACACATCTCCGTGGATCACAGGGCTCGGCTAAAACCCCAAGGCGTGGGCATGTTACTTAAGCTTAGTCTATTTCCCCTCCTCGGGATAAAGACTACAGATCACTACACATTTGGGGTGAATAAAAGGCTCCCAAGCCTTAAGGCTGCAGGATGTCGAACTGAGGTCGATAAATTGTAATTCACCCCACGTGATGAAAACACTGCAAAAAAAAAAAAAAAAAAAGTTGAACAAGTGTTTAGGTTGCCTGCATACTTTGGCCACCCTTGCTTCAAG